TTATCCTATACATTTTTTTAAAAATCCAGTACCAGCTAATGGCCACTTGGTAAATGTGAGTGTGTTTGTGTTTTTCAGGAACCATTGACATTTAAAGATGTGGCCATAGAATTCTCTCTGGAGGAGTGGCAATGCTTGGACAACGCACAGCGGGATTTATATAGGCATGTGTTGTTAGAGAACTACAGAAACCTGGTCTTCCTGGGTGAGGATAACTTCAATTCACAATTCCTAAGATACACTTAAGGTTTTATTTTATTTTTTTATTTTTGTAGAATGTTTTCTGGTAATTCAGATTCCTGTTTTCAAGAAAATGTTTGAGATTTATTTATTTAGAAATGTAGTCTTGCTCTGTCACCCAGGCTGGAGTGCAGTGGTGCAATCTCAGCTCACTGTAACCTCCGTCTCCAGGGTTCAAGTGATTCTCCTGCCTCAGCCTTTCGAGTAGCTGGGACTTACAGGCATGTGCCACCACACCCTGCTAATTTTTTGTATTTTTAGTGGAGACATTTCACCGTGTTAGCCAGGATGGTCTGGATTTGCTGGCCTCGTGATTCGCCCGCCTCGGCCTCCCAAAGTGCTGGGATTACAGGTGTGACCCACTGCTCTCAACCAAAAATCTTTGAGATGTCTTTTTGCACGAAATCATTCCTTCAAGATGTTTCATTTTGACCTGAACTTCTCACATTCCTGAGCTAATCTGTATCTTTCACTCTAGATTAGTGATAATTCCAGAAATTTAGTGCCGTGAAATATTGTTACCCACCCCTTAAAAGCTAATTCCCAGCACCAATTTTTGATTCAATAGTACCAGATGGTAAAATTTAAAACCTACAAATTTAAAATATTTTCTAAATGTTTAGAAATTTATGCTATAGATTAGTATTTATGTCCTCTTTACTGAGTACATTACTAGGTTGGTAATTGGAGAATATGACTAAGATTCATGTTACTTATTTTCAATATAACAGGTATTGCTGTCTGTAAGCCATATCTGATCACCTGTCTGGAGCAAAAAAAAGAACCCTGGAATATGAAGAGACGTGAGATGGTAGCCAAAACCCCAGGTAGGTGAGATAGTGGATACAACAGATGACACAAACGAAAGGTCAAAGGAAAAGCCAGTCCTTAAAATGTGATTTGGGAAGCTGTGTTCCAAAGGAAGTAGTTTCTGGAAAGCCTGAGCCTTTTTTTTCTTTTGCTCTCACAGAGCGGCATCTTGTGTCTTACACTTTTAAATTCTCTAAGGATTCTATTTTTCTCTTCAGTGATCTTCCTTCAAGTTCACAGTGAGAGCCAAAGTCCTCTTCATGCATATAAGAGGCACAACCTGACTTTTTTTTGTTTTGGGGACACAAATATCTGCATAATTTTGAAAACCGGCGGGGCGCGGTGGCTCAAGCCTGTAATCCCAGCACTTTGGGAGGCCGAGGCGGGTGGATCACGAGGTCAAGAGATCGAGACCATCCTGGTCAACATGGTGAAACCCCGTCTCTACCA